GTATTTGACCACAGGTGTCTTAGAAATATTGCTGGGATCACCGGGTAAGTAATAGTGAGGTTAGACGCAGGGTATTAGGGAACGATGGTAAATCAGTTGATGAGGTTGTGAATCTTCATCGACTGAGATGGTTGGGTCACGTGTTACGTATGCCTTAACACCGATTACCACGACTAGCAGTGCTGAATAGTGTTGGAGAAGGATGAAATAAATTTAGTGGCAGCCAAACCAAAACGTAGCATCAGTCCACAAAGCCACTAACTTCTGATCTGAGCCATGTTGGGAGATGCAGACTACTTGGTTGGGGTCAGGGTGACTATTGTAACCAATGGTTGGAGACTCTTGGTGACATGGTTCTGGATCGATCTCCATCTTCCCTTAAACTAAGAGATTAAAATTGCTTTATACCTTTCTTTCTATGGGCTTATTCTTTTTCCCTACATCATATACCTATATGCAATCTTTTTTAATATATACTTACACCACTGAATTAACATCTTCTATGATTTTGGTGTTCATCTTGTTGTGCTAATGAGGTGTAGCAACTTAGACTGATGCATATATGTGCCTGTTCCTACGTTGTAGCTGACTGGCTGACTGAACCCAATTTCAACCCAAATATTTAAATTAGTCAAACGTATTAAGAGAGTAAAACTGTTATGATTTACACTGAATTCATAGTTTATCTTTTGGTCTGTTATTATTTATGACTGTGTTAATATTGTTTTCTTATAAAATGAAATGAAACATTCTTAATCATCAGTTTCCCAAAATACAATCAATGTTATTGCAATGGTTAATTTTTAAGCTTTTCTACTCTACAAACTGTTTATTTTAGGCTGTAAATCAGTATATTATTCACTTTAATTAAACTAACACAGATGGTTTGTTATATTATTAGTAGATTTATCTATTTTATTCATATTTAAAGATTATTCAATGGAGAATACTTATCTTGTATTCAACATACAATTCATTTTATCAATAAAGCTTAACATAATTGGACGATTTGTCAAATGTTTGTTTGAATAAGTACAATTTGTTGTCATCACACTATTCTTGATATACTCTTAAGGTTGCATATAATTAACAAGAGTTATGTATAAACAATTTATCTGGCATAATAATTAATGTTAAGTCCTTGATCTGTCTACCCACTTTTGTTGCTGAGGCTAACTTGTCTAACGTACTAGATTAAGACCTTGACGCGATAGGCTGACCGGCTTTACTTTGAGGCTAGTACGCGTGAGTTCGAAGTGGGGTAGAGAGAAGAAAACTATTCTATCACCTGATTGTCTGACAAACACGCGAGTGAGAGAAGACATGTCAACTAGAACACTACTCGATTTATTCCCAATTCCGATCTGGTTCCCGATTTCCAGATCAGTGTATGAACATACATGAATAAATAAATGACTAACCCCACCACAACGTACAATAATTAGGAAAATACAACTATGTCCAAAACTGGGGATTAGCGTAGAAAATAGAGTACAAAATAATGCGTTTAAATTACAATAGCTTTGGAACAAAAAGGGCTATATCAGTGAATCATACATCAAAGGAAAGCTTAAGTTCTGTAGAATAGATTAGGGACAAAAATAAATGTTAATGTTTTACAAGCTTTGAATTAACTGAAATAAGTCCCGAAAAATAGCTTTCGTAGTTTGTCAAGGATTCGTGTTTCTCTGTTCACATCAATTAATTTATTCAGAAATTATCTACTAAACATAAATTTAACTTTGATAATTCTATCTGATGAGGCGTTCTCAATTATATTCAAATAAAGAAAGGACTTAGTGTTATATCGCCCAAACAAGGGTTCAGGAATTGTCCTTATGAAGTGTTTTGACGATGTTACCAAATTATCTTCGATATTATCCGATCCTGTCAAATTCCTTAAAGAAACTGTTCAAAAAGACACAAAATTTTAAGGAAGATGAAAGATGAGCTTATTATCAGAGAAAGAAATATATAATCAGTTAATATTCACCAATTTGAGGCATTACTTTCGCAATGGGATGACAAGATACACATCCACTATTTTTCATCTAGATTTGTATAAAATTTTAGTAGCTTCTTTTTTCCATAGATCTATAAAAATCTACATAAAAAACTGATATCACTTGAAAGACTTTCATTAAATCAAATTCTATTGAATAGTTCTGTTGTTGTTAGTTTGGAATTCGTAACAGTATGCTTCAAAAATCTTAAAGTACTAGATAGTTTACGTAAAACATTAAAATGAAAAATACTTTATTTTCATTTATTGAAAATGTATAAAAATAGTTTTAAATTGATATCATGAATGGATCAATGTTAGACCAGCATTGAAAACCTGGAAGAACTGGACAGTCGTTTTGTTCTACTATAGGACTCCTTAGAAGTGCGCATCCACAATCTTGCACGCGGAATTCGAATATGAGGCAATTACTCACTGAAGACAATCGAGGACGTTCGCTCAATATAGTAGATTAGTTGGAGTTAGATATTAACTCCATTGGATGCTCGCTCAGTAGTCTATAGGTTAGGCGTTCGCTCAAGAGACCGTAGATCCAGGGTTTGAGTCTCATGTGTGGGATCGTGGATTCGCACTTTTGAAAAGTCCTATACTAGAACGAAATGGCTGTCTAGTGCCTCCATGCTTTAAATGGTGGTCTAACATTGATTCGTTCATGATATCAATCGGAGGTAAAAAAACTTTCACAACCCCCTACTGATAAAAATAAATTGTTTAACTTTTCTATCGTTACATTCTTCGTTGATATATTTACATATCAACATGCACCTAGACAACCAAAAATTTCAATAAAATCTATCATTTGTTGGCATTCGTTTGATTTCATTTTTTCTTTGTATACACAACAATCATTATCTTTACTTCAATGTTTATTGATTGAATTTTGTATAATGTAACAGACTTTTGTCTTAAGAATTGTAAGCATTTTTTTTATTGTTTTGGTGTCATGGTTACATATGCTTATGTGTGTGTGTGTGTGTGTGTAACCACAATATACACGGTTTATAAGCTGATTGATTCATCTAGAATTTATTCATTCGATTTCATTAAAATCAACTATATTCATATCACCATATTACTAAGTGAGTTAACTAAAGATTTTTGGTTTCTAATAAATTTGATAATTATATCATTCTAATGTATTAGCGAAGGATAATTTATTATATTGGAAATTCTACCTTGTACATGAACATTGTTAAAATGCAGTTAGTCTGCTAAAAAGTTGATAATAATTAACCAAGGTACTGTAGTGAACAAGAACACATGCTGGGACAATTAAATGTACTTTAATGCAAAATTACAGAATCTTTTATTAAATTCTAAGAATCATATAGTAAATACTTCATTTGCGAAATGTCAATCAATTGTCTCAGACTTGATTGTTCCTTCGTTTTTACATCAATCATTCCCTGTTCTCGCTCTTTTCTTTTCAATCTTTTTAACCTTCTGCCACTCGACATTTCACTTTCGATTGATGACACATACTACTTATATCTGTCGACATCAGTAGCACACACCACAGTAGTGATTATCATCTTTTATCAATGTACATCTCTCAGAAATGTTTATATAGATTGTAAAACTTAGATTATATTCATTATCTACTATTCATTGATGGTAAAATCTAATTAGATGATTAAACATTTTGATCAAATATTAAAATATATCCATTAATAAAAATAAGCAGTTTACGAAGAGTGTTGAAATAAAAGTAGAATATGTACAGCTAATATTTCTAGCTTAAATGGACTAGTTATTAGTATCATACTTTCTGTAAGATTACATTGTCTTTGAAGAGTAACTGACTTACATTCGAATCCAGCGTATGGGATCGTGGATGTACACTTCTGAGGAGTCCCATACAGTTAAAATATGAAATGACTATAACGGATTATATAATCTTAATTTGATCTCTGTTCTAAGTTAATTGTCAGTATTCCCAATAATTCATTGTTTCATTAATTTTTGCAATTAAAAAAAAACTTGATTTGGTTGAAAATAATTTTTGATCGGGCTTTAAAAGATGAGAAAAAAACATGGAGACAAAATCAATGTTCGACCTCATGAACTTGTTATCTTACGTTTCAATTGTAGTGAAAATTTATTGATTACACTGTGGAACTTGTTACTAACCCATATCCCGAGTCTATTTAACAAAGTTGAGCTAAATAGTTTGAAAATTTGTATGGAACATAATACTTCTAAAATATAGAAATTTATGAAAGAAACAATTAGAATAAGGATTTTCTTAACATTAATTCCAAACTACATTTAACGTTTCTGCAGTCTAATAATCAATCATGTGATTGATATTACAGGAGTCTAATCCAAAAGATCTTTGCTGTTGAAAGAAGAAATTCCTATTTGGTATAGTAAATCATCAGTTTGTTTCATGATTCCTAAAACAATATTTGTGTTCTATTTTTGGTATGAATCCTAATTTCTCATAAGTCTTCAAGACTTCCACAAACTCAATTTCCTTATCAGGTCCCTCAAGAATAATTATCCATCCATCGTGTAGGCAACCACAATATGATAACCGTTTTCACACCTCTAACACCATTTGAAAATGTTCGGGGGCATAGGTGTTTGTTATCCCGAAATGCGTTTATGATTCTTTTTTGGAAAATTATCTAGTAAACTAGGAAATAATCTACAAAGTTGAGCTTTATCGTGCTTTCAGAGAACTAATTAAACAATTAAAAAGCACTAGTGAAAAGTTGTTTCACTATATTTTTCCTTGTTTTTCGACTAAGTCAAGTTAAATGAATAATGTTGTGCGAAAAAGTACCAACAATTAAGAAATCCAAGTAATATACCATATGGAATACCTTTGTATATGAAAAAAATGACAGGAACTAATGAAATAGATTTTTTAATGATTAAACAATTTACCGATTTTTAAAACAATCTAAAACACTATCGTATTGTGAGTACCATGTTGATGTTTCTTCTTGAATAACTACCATTTTTTAACAGAATGGCTATAATGTATATACTTGAAAAAGAATTCGACAGTATTGATAAAAATTCTGATGGATTTCTAAGTAGAGCTGAAATTATTAGCTGTTTGGAAAGTTTTGGTTTTCCTAAAAGTAAAGCTGAAGTAAGTATTTAGAAAATCATTGTTTTTTCATCTCTTCATAATTAATTTTTTCCCTGAATTAATACATTTTATGAACTTAGGAACACCTTTCGATTTCTGTTATTCTTGAAATCCTCCTTCTGAAGACTTTCATTACATATCCTGAAAACCTTCTATAATTAGCGAAAAAATCTGCTAGTCTAATATACGTTCAATTTTTTAGAATCACGTTACATTGATTTTAACCGTTGATTCTCATTCAAATTACTCATCATGAGGTTTATAGTAGACATCCTGTGTTGATATCAATAATTGCTTCGGCCTCCATAGGTCATGAGGGATGCACACTACTGATTGATCCCATACTGAAATGAAATAACCATTCACAGCTCCCTGATTCTACATATCACCTCAAGTGATAGCACTCGGTGATGAATACGATCCACAAATTGCATATTAATTCTTTCTAATTATTGATTTACGTTCAAATAATACTGAAATTTCACAAATACCTGTACAAAAAATTGTTATCGAATTGATCTGTGTAAATCAAAAGCTTCAACCAGAATACATATAAATGGGACTAGAAGTGCTATAATATTAAAGGGATAGTAGATGTTGAAAAAATTATCTTGAGTCTAGATTTATTTTGTCAGAAAGTATGGATTTCGTTTGCTGACTTAAGCATATAACTTTATGCAGCTAATAAATGCAGTTGAAAAAACGACATTGAATAAATATGATAGGCTTCATATTAATTCTGTTGACTACAAACATCACACTCATTCATCAAAGCAGATAATTCCTGACGAGTTAAATTGGTTATTATCATTTATATATATTATGATATTTAATTAATAATAACATTTCTAATATTATAAATGACTGTTAGCAATCCTAAATATAATACACAAAATTCGAAAGTAAATTTTGTTTGAAATTACACTTCAGTTGTACACCTTGAATTCTTAATAGTTCAACTTAATTTATATTTTCTTCATTGACATCATGAACCGATTATTGTTAGACCACCATCGAAAACCAGAAAGCAATGGAAGGCCGTTCTGTCCTAGTATGGGACTCGTAAGTAGTGCACATCCACGATCCCGCTAGCGGAATCCGAACCCACTACCTTTAGTTTCGCGTGCGAACGTCTAACCTGTAGACCACTGAGTGGGTATCCAATGGTGTTAATATTTAACTTCAACCAATCTACGATATTGCACGACCATCTTCCATTGTCTGAGGTACATAACTGTCTCTCCCTGACATGGATTATCTCCACTGGTCACGGTTTCTCACTAGAACTCCGATAATACCCTTACAAAGCTAGTCACTAATAAGTACATGATAATTATCATTATTAGGTTATAAAGATGGTAAGTTTTTTATTGTTCATTGAAATCCTGTATTCCATACTAGAACAAAACCTTCATTCAGGGCTTCCATTGCTTCTAATAATGGTCTAGCATCAATCGATTCATGATCCTAATCAAAACCTTAACAATCTCATCATAATTACCAATTAATCTTTCTAGTTTGTTTTTCTCTATTAATTTCATAATTCAAACTTGAAAAATTTATAATTTACATCGTAAAGTTGTTTTATTCTTTTGACGATTTGTATATATATATATATCATGTGGAAAGATAATGAATAAACGTGATAATCAAAATATATTCATCAAAAGAAAAAAAACAAAAAGAAACAATTAAAAAGAAGTACATAATTGTTTCAGTTAATAATTGTAACGAATTTTTTGACATCCACAGAAAAAAAGAAAAAAACAAAAAGAAAAACAAAGGAAGATTCTATTTGTTTGATTGGTATTTTTTTTAAAATTAATGAGCACAACAACAAAAAAATCGTTATCCTTTTTCTCGTTTTCTTTTTTCTCTTTATAAAATGTGATAAAGGGTTTTAGAACAATATATATAAATATAAGTGAACAATGTTGTTTTCGATTAGATCCTCATCACGCTTTATGCTAATATACAGTAATATTTATATGCATATATGAAATTATTAAACTAATCAAGGTAGTTTATCAGTCATTTGAAGTTATTTATCGTATTCCTACTGGTTTTCCTTATGGTGTTCAAGCTCGTCTCTTACACATAGCGGAAGCTATAAGAATTCAAGCCAACAATCTAAGTCTTTGTGTTTATAAGAAATTCGTAACAATCTTATCTCTCCTTTGGCCTTAATAAGTGCTTCCAGGTTTTCCATGGTGCTTTAGCTTCAATTGACTCATGATCACAACTATTGAAATTACTAAAATCTCCACAAAATAACCCCTTCTGATACTGATCAACATATGCTCACTAGTTATTGGCTTCAAGATGTATATCCTGGAGTTCTAGTGAGAAGCAGTGACCAATGGGGTTTAACCGGATCAGTTGTGAGATAGCAACTCACTGATAACAATGGTGGATGTATAACTCAATTTCGTGGATTCGTTGAAGTTAGACATTAACACCGTTGGATCCTGTCTCAATGGTCTAGTGGTTCAGCGTTCGCGCGTGAGACTAATAGGTCCCAGGTTTGAATCCCGCGGGGGGCGGGATCGTGGATGCGCACTAGTGAGGAATCCCATACTAGGACGAAACGGTCTTCCAGTGCTTCGAGATTGTCCATGGTGATCTAGCTTCAATTGACTCATGATCTTAACTATTGGAACTTAATAAATGAATTTGTTTATTATTTTCCATATTTTTTGTTCGTTTGTTTCACGTCCTTCCACCCATTTTTTCTCAAATATACGCTTCACGGTGTATTTATCTGGACACTTCTTATTACGTAATTTTATAATTTTAATAAATGTTATATGTATATTATTGTGTATGTAGCTCTCTTTTATTTGTCAGCTTTTAATAATGTTTGTTTAGAATGGTTAATTTTTCATTTACGAACCTTCTTTTTGTACTTCTTCATGACATTTTTTCTGTAAAGGAAGTTATCAAACTGTATGATGAAAATAAAGATGGGAAAATATCTAAAAATGAATTCATGAAAGCTACAAATAAGAAACTTTCACAATCTGATGTATCGTGAGTTTTTTTTAAAAAAGATTTATTTTTTTGTACTGAACAAGTCATTTGTCGATATTAGTATTTCCTGTACTCTAAAAGTTATTTATAATTAACTGAACTGAAAGGATACAAGTTTAATTACATAACAAGTTGGGTATCTGTTTTATATTGTTTAACTGGGCAGTTTTTTATCCCGCTAGCATAACAGAGCATTAATACTATAATCACGTCATAAGATTAAGAAGGAATTGATCATGAAATAAATAAGGACTCAAGTGGAGACAATCGAATGGATTTGAAAACATAAAATTACAAAACATCTTAGTACAATTTGAGAATCATACAGTAAATACCTAATTTGCAAAGTTTCAATCAATTATCAGGATAGGGGTTGTGGAGACTATTAAGTTTTTGATTAAGATCATGAACCGATTGATGTTAGACCATCATTGAAAACCTAGAAACACTGAACGGCTGTTTCGTCCTGTTGTGGTACTCCTCAACAGTGCACATCCACAATCCCGCTTGCGGGATTCAAACCCAGGGCCTTCAGTCTCGCGCGGGAACACTTAACCTAGTTCTATAATATCTGACCTAGAATACACTTTTATTAAAAAGATTTAATTTGAAGAAAATAATTTTAATAGTTAAGATCATGAATCGATTGCAACTAGACTATCATGATAAACCTAGAAGTACTGGATGTTAATCCCATTTCATTCAAACAATATCTATTTATTACTTTGTCATTATATGTTTCTTTCAATACATTACAACATCTATTTCAAGATGTGCTGCATTAAGAAAAATATTTCGTGAAATGGATCGAAATAAAGATGGAACTATTTCAAAAGAAGAAATAAAAAATTACATGAAAAATGATTGTAATTTTATATTCCCTATACAAGTTGAACAATGGGTTGATAAATATGATAAAAATAAAGATGAAAGATTAAATTATGAGGAATTCATTGGATTTGTTTCAGAATATTTGTAAATATAACTTCTTTTTTGGCATAATAATTATTATCATTGTACTAAATTTCATATTCAATAAGTATATTTTAGTGAATGACAATATAAACTACATTTTTAGTACTTTTTTTATTTATTTGAATGAATTTTCAAATTTAGTATTGTTTCAATACACTTTTATGAATAACTGAAAAATGTACCTTTTTTATTAATGAATATTAATTTTGATGGTTGAAACCGTAAAATATTTTAAAAACATGGCAGTATGTATTCCATGATGTTGATGACTTGATAATAAAAAACTTACTTACTTACGCCCTTTACTCCGACCAACATTATCCCAACCCACTTTGTCCTGAGCCTTGCTTTTAGTTCTATCCAATTTTTGTTGATTCTTCAAACGTCTGTTTCCATTTCTCGGCATAATGTGTTCTTTGGTTTTCCTCTTTTTCTTTGGCCTTGAGGATTTCATGTGAAAGTTTGCCTTCTGACGTAGGTAAGTCCTCCACCTGGAGCCCCTCTAGGGCTACTGCCGGCTCCAAGCCAGGATAAAAGAGGAGGGATTAGCGACCTCACCCTGTAGAATACTAACTCACTAAGAAAACGCTTACCAGAAAAAAACTTAATATACTAAAACGTATCCATTAATTAATAATCTTATTTTGAGGAGGTAAATGAGTTGAATCTAAGAAATACAAAAGAAATTACATTTTCAAGCATTTTAAATAGACTTTTAGCTAAAATGTTAATAATAGTAACTTATGCGGTGTTTGTTTGTGGTCTAGTCGTAAAGCCATATATACTTAGAATGGGTTTATTTATAACAGCCTGGTCTGTAACTGCAATTTTTAATGTTAAGATTTATAGCTTAAAGTAATGACTCTCACCATAGACAACTTTTTTAATATAAACTCAAGTTCTAACAGTATTTCTATTAGTCTCTTAGTGGCTTAAAGAATTCAGTGTAGTACATTTAAATGACGAAGTACTACAACTGATTTGGCTATATAAAGTACTTTTAAATGTTCAAGCTATGAAATTGCTTGCTTATCAATCACTCAAACTTCTGACTGATTTTGGAGCGAAGCTTAGCAATAAAAAAATCTGTAAACAACTCTGTCCTGAGCTTTCCTTCCCAGTTGTTCCCAGGTCCTATTCATAGTCCTTATGTTCACCTCCACTTCCCTGAGTCATGTGTTCTTTGAAGATACTAAGCTAAGGTTTGTCTTGTAATGCAACCGAATGGTCACTGTATAGTGTTTCCTACCCCTAGCATATTTTTCTAACTTACGCAAATGGTAGTGGGTTTGTTACTCCTCACAGTAGATTATTGCTGATGTGTGATGTTTGTATGAACTTGTGATTTGTTTGAACTTACTGACTGCCTGATTTCAAACCTTTTCATATAGTCCTCAAAAGTATCAAAATCTGAATTTATGTCCAGCTGTTCCATCACTGGATCCTGCTCTCGACGCCAATGTGATAATTAGAAGTATCTGAATTATTATACGAATTGGGAATACCAGAAATAACACAATATAACCAAGATGAACTAAACGAACACGAAAAAACGTCTTTAAAATTCGAAATCAGGCAGTCATCAAGTACAAAGGACTCATTAGTTCTTACAAACACCACATGATGGCTTTGAAAAAATGAATCTAGAGTATCATGCGTAAACAGCTACTTATTAATACATGTACTATTTTATTGATGTTGATGATATTTCTTTACGTACGAGTTCTGCATAATGAGGTTGTTTTAATGTTAGCTTTTTGAATTCTGATTATAGTCTTAAGTTACAGTTGCTCAGACTTCCAAATATTTTTCCATAATAGGAATGATCCCACTGTCTTCACGATTCGCGTCTGTATCAAATGCTCCTTGTTTATCTATTATGCTTCCTAGGCATGTAAAGGTTCCCAGCTCTTTCAGAGTTTCACTATCAAATATGATTAGGTTGGTTCTTGCTATTTTGTACTTTAGGATCTTTTTCCATTGTGAATGTTGAGTCTTGTTTCTGTGAAAGCTATTGCTGTATTAAGTGTCTTTATCAGCATTTAATGTTGTTTAGGTTAGATGGTCCTAGTCATATACGAAGTTCGAATCATCTAATTTATCCTGAAGTGTCCACTGTATTTTGTAGTGTTTCTGAGATATCGAGGCCTTCCTAATCCAATCAATAACCAGAAGAAAGTGAAAAGGTAAAATTTGGAAATCTTATTCGACGGCAGTTTTTTCACTTGGAGTTCATCCATGTGTTCTGTGCATGTATGAATTTAGAATCCAGTTCTTTATGGAAATTCCGTGCGATGTTGAAGATCTTATACACTCCGTAGTTTCAAAGAACATTCCACCAGGCTTTTCTATCCACTCTAGTACTGACAGTAATTGAATAACTCTTAAGTAACAATACTCATTAAGATCTCGATTACATTTCATCATGATGTGGCATCCCTTCTTTCCAGTTTACTGTTTCTTGTTCTTTGCGAAAATAACAAGAAGAATCTGTACAGTCACTGATATATCTGACTTGAGTGCCTCCGTATGTGCTGACTGGTATACTGCATTGCCATTCGTGATATACTTGATGGTCTAGCTACTCTCTTTTTTGTTGTTGATGAACTGTAAAAATATAGAGAGGTTTGTGTGCGTGTTACTTTAATGCACGGCTACATTAGTCTGTTCAAAAGATGTCTCAAGTCCTCAGTTCACCTCAGTCATCAGTATTTTGTAATGTTTCAGACTGGTCTCTTCACTTTACTAAATCTCCCTACTAACTTCTTGGCCGCGTTACACAGTTCTTCATTATTTCCTTTTTGTGCTTTTTCTTTCAATCCTTATCAATATTTCATCTCGTTGGTCCTGATGCTCTTCTTCAGTCGCTTGCTTCAGTACATTCAACTTGAGTTTTGGCTCTCTTTAGTTTTGTTCGGATATCCTGGACTTTTATCCGCTTATTTTTCCCTTTCTGAATCCTGTTCAGGCTATTTACAGAAATCCGCTCTTTATACTGATGCTTCTTTCCACCAGGAACCTCCTGGCATGATTAAATTATTGCTTCTTTAGTCCATTTCCAGTTGATATATTCTTATTCTGGTAGGTCTTCTAAGACTCAGTTGTTATTAAAAACGATCTTGAACTCGTTGGTTCTGTTAACTTCTCAAATGAACTCTGTATTAAACTTTAGATATTCCGTTTGTCCAATTTATCAACTCCTCTTTATAGTTAGTTTTAGCCTGGCCACAAAAGATGATCTGTAGTTATGGAATTTCCTCTGTTTGTTTATACGTCTTCTGTGTAAAATGGTGATATTATGACTTTATTGAAAGTACACAGGTCTTCCAGCCTCTCATCATCCTCTTCTCTCTCTTAGCGTCCATTCTGGCTCATGATGCCTTCGTACACGATTTAAATGAAGCTGCAATATAGGTGCTGTCACTTTATTTGAAGTAATCAGAACTTCATACAGCTGCGTTAATTCATCAATATTGAGTGATCCTTTTTTAGTTAACTTTTTATCGTCTGTAGTTTCAAGGTTAGACTTATACGGTTAAGGAACACTTGACAGAGTAAAACCATTTTTAATGATAAATTTGTAGAAAATTTCTAAAATCCTGTGCTACTGAGGCAGATTTACTTAGTTATTGTGTCTTACAACGAAACTTCGAATATTTAGTCTGAACTCAGAAAGTTATTCAATAGAGCAATTTTTATCTGACCACGTCAAATTCTGTTCTTCTACATAGGGTGCGAAGTTTCTTCATGTCACTGTAGCGGTAAATAAATCCCCAAAATAAGTAGCACTAAGTTTTCGACATTGGATGCTGACCATATGTTTTAGTGGACTCATCTAGCTGAAGGCGCTCGGTCAGGCATCCGCACCAGATCACGTGTGGTAACGCCGTGCTCAACATCACCGCAATCGCTAGCCAGATTAGATCAGAGAATTCCGATATATTGGTCATCGCCAAATATACTCTTCCGATCTCCTCGACTCTGTCTTTTGATTTCTCTGGGTGGGAGCGGAATATATTAGAAGGTGTTACTGGTAGAAGCGTTGTCAAACACTGAATACCTGTGACATCCTCATTCGTGAGACCGTCGTGATCTGGTACACCTTATTGCTACTGTGAGTCTGTTCCTTGTCGGGATTTTTATATATCATTACCTTATTTTTTATTTTTTTAAACATTGTGATTTTTTTTCGCAATTTTTCTAGGATATATATTTTTTTCCCATCGTACATTATCGTACTTCATATTTCATCATGACTGAACAGACACCTAAAGTACTCAAGCTTAAGACTTTGTCCCTACCTTCGTTTCAACTGATGTCTTTCTGGCCCGACAACATCGAAGCCTAGTTTCGCTACGCAGAAGCCGACTTCTCCGAGTACGGCGTGATCGACACACGTGCACAATTCCTCGCAGTAGTCAAGGCACTACCGCGCGAATTCAACAGGTACGTAACACCTAGTATGTTTACTAGTGATGTTTCCGATCCTTACGAAATCTTAAAACGCTCGATTCTTAAACAAGGAGACCTAACCGATCGACAAAAGTTAGATCAACTCTTCAATAACATCGACCTGCAACACGGTTCTGCGACAGACATGTTGCAACAGATGAGAGAGATTATAGGCCCAAGAACTTTCGACGAAGGCCTATTCAAACAACTCTTCTTGTCAAAACTTCCCCAACAGGTGCAAGCAGTTCTGGTCTCGTTCTAGAACAACGCCTTAGACGAGCTAGCTGCATCTGCCGACCGCATTCTAGAATACACGAAACCTACTAGCGAGGTATTTTCAGTCAAAGAAAACCCTCACACAACTCAGAATGATATAACCGACTTATGTCACACACTCACGCGTTATCTTAATCTTCGTACTGACCGTAAGAGATCGCGCACACCACGTAGAAGCATTTCACGTAGGCGATCTGTCTCTAGACCACGAGAGACAGATAACCCCGACTGTTGCTGGTATCATAACCAGTATGGAAAGCTTTCCAGAAATTGTAG